GGTCCCAATGAGCTCATCTCTCTTCTCGCTACCACAGAGTCCCGGCGGCCCCGCAGGTAGAGCGGCCAGCGGGAGAAGCCGCTCTCCCTGAGCTCCACACCATAGAGTCCGGAGGCGCGACGGAGCTAGTGACCTCCCTGCGGGCCATCGCTGGACACCACAGAGACCCGCGGGGCTGCGGACACCCCGCAGCTCGCGCTTGACGGGGCAACTGCTCCGCTCCCCCCTTAATTAGGGTGACGCGGCGCCGGTGAGGACGGAGACTAATGCGCATGCGCGGGGGGTCCGAGAAGCGCGTTATTCTGACTCGCGGCGGCACAGCCAATCACAGGGCGGAGGGGGCGGGGCGGAGCGCGCCTCCTGGTGACCCCCTCCCAACGCTGAAAAGTGTCACGTGACTGGGCGGCAGCGGGGGGGCATCAGGCCCTGACCCCAACCGCGACCCCTGACCCCTATCACCTACCCCTGGTGGGGGCAGTGACCCTTGACCCAGTGCCAAACCCTGACCCTCTCCAGGCACCTGACCCCAGACCTGACCCCATAGCCCAGCCCTGACTAGGGTTGCCAATTTTGATTGGATGTATTCCTGGAGATTTCATCATATGCCATACTATTTAATTAAAGATTCATCTTTAATTCCAGGGGACTCCAGGCTAATCCTGGAGGGTTGGCAACCCTAGTCCTGACACTTACCCTGGCCCCCTAACTCTGGCAGGGGGGTGTCAAGCCCTGACTTGGGCAGGGGGCACTGGGCCCTGACTCGTGGGCTGCAGTGGGGGAGCCAGCACTATCCCTACTGCTGGGAGCCCTGTACTGTGAGGCACCCCAGAGCCCCCTGGGAAATAGGGTCTCTTAGCTCCTGCCATGCTGACCTTTCCCCCCGCCCCATCTAACCATAAAGAAAGTCTCCTGAACTTGTCCATGACCTCGAGGGGGGAGAAACACCAGGCTGGGAGAATCTGTGTCATCCAGTAGTTCCCCATGACAAATAAGTCTGTACAAGTGAGTGGCTCCTGGCACCAGCCAAACATCAGTGCAGGACAAATCCCCCTGCCCCCATGTTATTGATTTATGTCCAGGGGACACTAATGCAATGTTTTCCCCGGGGGGGACCTCAGCTGTAACCCCAAGGAATGGGCTGCATTGAGCCGGCTGGCGAGAGAAATACTGTGCAGTGCTGAGCTCAAGCCCTGCCGCCTTGAGCCCCTGCCCTTGAGAGTTCTTTGGTGTATAACCACAGGGCTATGAGCTCTTCGTAACCAGGCCGCTGGGTGAGGCTGGTCCCTGCTGGTGTCTGAAGTGTCTGCTCTGGACTCTCCCCAGGAATCGCTCCAGGCTGGGTCCTGAAGGATGGAGCCCACGGAGGCAGCCCAGGCCCCGGAGGGGAGGAAGAGATTCACTGTGCAGTCACAGGACCCTGAACATACCATGGTAGGAAAGGAGGCAGGGGTGGCTCTTGGAGGGGACCTGATAAGTAGCTATGGTTGTGTCCGGGGCTGCTGAGATTCACACACACAGTGAGAGGCAGGAGGCCCCTAGCACCGAGTTGGCTCTGCCCCTCCCCAGGAACCCTCAGACACACCCTGCTTGTCGTCAGATGTTCGGTTGTGTGCATGTGTTTTTTCCGCATGCTGCACTAGCCCTGGCCAGATAGCCCGTACAGCAGGCTCCAGTCGAACTGCCCAATGAGACCACAAGACTTGTTTAGTAGTGAAGGTACCCGGCCAGGTTTATTGCCAACAAAGCACAGTGCTAATGCCCCAGTTCAATGGTTACAGGTACACTAACACATGTATGCCCATGACAATGGACTAGCTCAGTTAGTGGCAGGACTTCCCACTGCCCCCTAGGCCAGATGAAGGGTTAAAGCGAGGTATTCCAACGTTTATGAATGAAAACAAACCATCTGGGATAAACAACTTACATATCAACTTACAACTTCATGACATGTCTGTTACCTCCCCTTATACTTTCCTCCTGATGTTTCAGACAAAACATTTCTATTCACCACCTGTCTTTGTACTTTTACTCGTGATGTTTCAGACAAAATATCACTATTTATTACTTTTGTCAAACCATTTTATCAAGTGCTAGGTTGGGGTGTTCTTGTGTTGGCCTGCTGGAATGTGTTTACATAGCCAGTGGGTTTTAGCAATGCTAGCTAATGGTGCCGAGTTTGTGTACTGGCCACTGACTTGCAGGCAAGCATCTGCGTTTGTCAGGGCCTGGCGGCTGCTCATAGCATAACTTTTGCTAACTTTGGTTCAGGCTTCAGGCCTTGCACCAGGCTCATGCGTCAGGCTTCCTCTTTCTACTACACTGCTCATTCTGGGGCCCCTAGCAGAGAGCTGGCTCTGTGCTTCCCCCAAGAAACACCCTGCTTGCTCAGTGGATCCCTGGCACGCTTGGGGTCACTCCAGCTCATACCCAGCTTCCCCTGAGAGGCCCCTGCCCACGCACAGTTGGCTCTGTCTCC